CAGAGTTAGGAAAAAACTTCACATCTATTCTTTCCTGTCGTGCGACTTGATTTTTCAATACTAATTGAACTTCCACTCTAGTCTTTCGCAGATGGAGAACACGCACCGCTTCATCATTTAACCAGCAGCCCGAGCCCCTAGTAGCAGCTCATGCGATGGGCAGAGGTCGAGGTCGTGCTAGGGCATGAGGCAGAGGCAAGGCTCAGCCCAGAGCTCGAGCAGCAGCACCAGCGGCGGAGCCTCAAGTTGAGTTTAACAATGAAGTTCTAGCCCAGATAGTTCCAGTAGGACCAGCTCAGGTCCCAGAGGGGTTCATCACCACCCCAGTACTTCAGGATGCCCTAGTCCGTCTAGTGGGCCTTATGGAGAGTATCGCCTAAGCAGGATTGCTTCCTGTAGCACCGGTCGTCTCTTAGGATGGAGGAGGAACCCAGACTCCTGCTTCTCCCACTCCGAAGCATATGGCTCCCCGGTTTTAGACTCCAGTAGGCCTGCTAGTTGGGGTAGTTCAGCCTAGTGTTCTGGCTCAGACTGGTGAGGGGCGAGCTATGTCTGCTGATGCCTTGTGGAGATTGGACAAGTTAGCCAAGCTTTTTACTACTACTTTTGGTGGTACATCTTCTGAGGATCCCCAGGATTATTTGGACAGTTGTTATGAGGTTCTAAGAACATGGGGATAGTGGAGACCAATGGGGTCGACTTTGCTGCTTTTCGTTTGTCTGGATCTACCAAGACTTGGAGGAGAGATTATTGTTTGGCTAGACCAGCTGGGTCAGCAGCTTTGTACTTGGGATCAGTTTTCTCAGCTATTTCTGGAGAAGTTTCTTCCTATCACTCAGAGGAAGAACTATCAGAGGCAGTTTGAGCATATTCAGCAGGGTTCTATGACTGTTACTTAGTACAATACCAGATTTATTGATTTGGCTCGTCATGTTCTTCTTCTACTTCCCACTAAGAGAGAGAGAGAGAGAGAGAGTGAGGAGGTTCATTGAGGGACTCATTCAGCCTATTCGATTACAGATGGCTAAGGAGACGGGAAGCGAGATTTCTTTTCAGGATGCGGCCAATGTGGCTAGGAGAGGTGAGATGGTTCCATCACAGGGGAGTGGTCAGCGGTCTGACAAGAGGCCTCGTCATTCAGGCAGGTTTAGTGGTGCCTCATCTGGAGGTAGAAATTCTTTTTGTAGGAGTCATCCTTCCAGTCCATTTCATTCAGTACTTCAGGCGCCTCACGGTGCTCCAGGTGGCTGTGGTTCTCATATATAGTATTCAGATCAGTTGCCCTACAGTGCACCCCCAGCTCCTATTAGTGCACATCCACTCCAGAGTTTTTAGAGTGGTTATTCAGGTCGTCTGGGTTAGCAGTCTCAACAGCCGAGGACTTGTTATACTTGTGGTGATACGAGGCATATTGCTAGATTTTGCCCTCGAGCACCAAGCAGCTCTCAGCATCAGGGTTCCCGTGCCATGGTTCAGGCACCAAGTATTCCACCGCCCACTCAGCAAGCTAGAGGTGGAGGTAGAGGTGTTATAGGTGTAGGTAGAGGTATTAGAGGTGGAGGTCAGGACTCTAGAGGTGGAGGTTAGGACTCTAGAGGTGGAGGCCAGCCAGCAAGAGGTCATCCCAGAGATGTAGTTCAGAGTGGTGGGGTCCAACCCCAATGTTATGCTCTTCTAGCTAGGCCTGAGGCTGAGGCTTCTAATGCAATTATCACGGGTATTGTTCTGGTTTGTAGTAGAGATCCTTCCATTCTATTTGATCTAGGATCTACATACTCCTATGTGTCATCTTATTTTGCATCGTATCTAGTTGTGCCTAGTGATTCCTTGAGTGCTCATGTATATGTGTCTATACCGGTGGGTGATTCTATTATGGTAGATCGTGTCCATCATTCATGTATAGTTGTGATTAGGGGTCTTGAGACTCTAGTAGATTTGTTAATTCTGGATATGGTTGATTTTGATGTCATATTGGGGATGGACTGTTATCACCTTACCACGCTATCTTGGACTGTCATGCCAAGACTATGATCTTAGACTTGTCGGGTTTACCTCGTTTAGAGTGGAGAGGGACTCCTGGTCATTCTACCCGTAGGGTTATCTCATATATGAAGGCTCCGCGTATGGTCGAGAATGGGTGTTTGGCCTATTTGGCATATGTTTGTGATTCTAGTGCTGAGGTTCCTTCTGTGGATTACGTGCCTGTTGTTCATGAGTTTCCTGAGGTATTCCCTTCAGACCTGCCGAGTATTCCACTCGACGGGGATATTGACTTCTGCATTGATTCGGCTCCGAGCACTCATCCCATTTCTATTTCGATGTACTATATGGCCACGCTTGAGTTGAAAGAATTGAAGGAGCGGTTGCAAGACTTGCTTGATAAAGGCTTTATTAGACTTAGTGTCTCGCCTTGGGGTGCACCGGTGTTGTTTGTTAAGAAGAAGGACGGATCGATGAGAATGTGTATAGATTATCAATAGTTGAACAAGGTTAGAATCAACAATAAGTATCCATTGCTGAGGATTGATGATTTGTTTGATCAGCTTCAGGGTGCCAAGGTATTTTCGAAGATTGAATTGAGATCTGGCTACCATTAGTTGAGGATTAGGGCATCTGATGTCCCTAAGACAGCTTTTCACACTCGGTATGGGCATTATGAGTTCTTGGTGATGTCATTTGGGTTGACAAATGCCCCAATAGTTTTTATCTATTTGATGAACTGAGTGTTCAAGCCTTACTTGGATTCGTTCGCGATAGTCTTCGTTGATGATATTTTGATATATTCCCACAGCCCGGAAGATCATGACCAGCATCTGAGAGTTGTTCTTTAGACTTTGAGAGATAGTCAGCTGTATGCTAAGTTTTCGAAGTGTGAGTTCTGGTAGAGTTCGGTTGCATTCTTGGGTCTCGTATTGTACTTGGTGCGGTGTTGATGCAGGATGGCAAGGTCATTGCTTATGCTTCGCGACAGTTGAAGATTCATGAGAAGAATTATATAGTTCATGATTTAGAGTTAGCAGCCATTGTTCATGTGTTAAATATTTAGAGGCATTATCTGTATGGCGTGTCATGTGAGGTGTTCATGGATCACAAGAGTCTACAGTATTTGTTCAAGCAGAAGGAGCTAAATTTGAGGTAGAGAAGGTGGTTGGAGCTATTAAAAGACTATGATATCACCATCTTATATCATCTGGGAAAGGCCAATGTGGTGGCCGATGCTTTGAGTAGAAAGTCAGCCAGCATGGGCAATCTTGCGCATATTTCGGTCAGTGAGAGACCGCTTGATTTGGATGTTCAGGCTTTGTCCAATCAGTTCGTGAGGTTGGATGTTTCTGAGCCCAGCCGTGTATTAGCTTGCATAGTCACTCGTTCTTCATTATTTGAGCGTATTCGAGATTGGCAGTATGATGATCCTCATTTTCTTGTTCTTAGAGACACAATGTGGCATGGAGGTACCAAGCAGGTTACAGTTGGAGATGATAGAGTCTTAAGGATGCAGGGTCGTATTTGTGTGCCTAATGTGGATGGACTTCGAGAGTGGATTTTAGAGGAGGCATATAGTTCCCGGTACTCTATTCATCTGGGCGCCGCTATAATGTATCAGGATTTGCGACAGCATTATTGGTAGAGGAGGATGAATAAGTATATTGTTGCATATGTGGCTCGGTGTTTAAATTGTTAGCAGGTAAAGTATGAGTATCAGAGACCTGGTGGTTTGTTCTAGAAGATTGAGATTCCTGAGTGGAAGTGGGAGCGTATCTGATGGGTTTTCAATGTACTTGCCTTATGCTTCTTATGTTTTGATGAACTAACAAACTTATTGTGAGAAACCAAATAGAGAACCTGACCCACATGGTATACATTTCAAATGAATAATGTCCAGACTAAACAAACACATGGAGGAACACAACAAGGACCTGGTGACCTAGTCCCTTAGGGTACTCTGACAGAAGTACAAGTTAATGACTCCAGCAAATGAATGAACAACCATAGGAAGGAACACAACAGGGACCTGGTGACCTGGTCCCTTAGGGTTCTCCGACCGAAATACAAGTCAGTGACTGTCCGCAACCATTATAAAGAGGAACACAACAGGGACCTGGTCTCTTAGTGTTCTTTGACAGAAGTACAAGTCAACTATATAGCTGGAATGCAACTGCACAAAAGTGACTATGCAACAGACAGTGCAGCAGTCACTTCTCATTGGGAAGAAGCGTGTACCAAGAATTGACATCACTATCCATTGTGATGTCTTTTGTGATATAACAACCTGGTGCAAGGCACAACATTTTCACTGGTGCATTCAGTGATACTCTCTCAAGCATAACAGTGTTCATCCGGCATTGAAGTCACTAGTGTGTCAAGAACAAGAAGACAACTCCACTAAGGATCAGTTTCATAATGAGTTTATGTATATCCGTAGTTGAGTTGTAATCTTGTTATTTGTTCTTTATTGTATCTCCTATTTTGCTTTCTTAGAAGCTTTGTCTTAGGAAAACCAAAAATCCGTAAACTTCCGAGTTTATGTTGTGACTAGGATTAGTCATAAGTTTAAAGTCTTTGTAACTAGAAGAGTCACAAAGTGGCTTGTGGTGAGAGCATCACAAGTTAGTTGAAGTCTTTGTAATAGGGTTATTACAAAGTGGCTTGTAATAGTGAGATTGCAAGTTAGTGAAGTTAAATGCCGACAAGTGTAGGTCGTGGTTTTTTTATCCCCTTGTGTGGAATTTTTCCACGTAAAAATCCCTTGTCTTCTTTACTTACAGTTTTATTAGCATTCTCAGCTTAACCTCATAGAGGACCAGGTATTCTTACTATTTGGTGGACTCATACAAACTAATAATTGGTATCAGAGCAGGTTCTTTCTAAAAGGCTAACACCTAGAAAGGATCTCAATGGCTGCTCCACCCAACTTTGAGGAAGGACAATCAACCTACAGACCTTCTAGATTTAATGGTCAATAATAGGGCTGGTGGAAGACTCGCATGCATGATTTTATAATGGCTGAAGACTCAGAACTATGGGACATCATCTGTGATGGTCCACATGTTCATATGAAGAAGCTTGAAGAAACTGGACCAATGGTGCCGAAAGACAAAAAAGAGTACAGCGACATTGACAAAAAAGCCATAGAAAAGAACTATCATGCCAAGAAAATCTTGGTGTGTTGCATAGGACCCGATGAGTACAACAGAGTCTCAGCTTGTGATACTGCCAAAGAAATATGGGAAGCGTTGCAAACCGCACACAAAGGAACTACTCAGGTTAAACAGTCCAAGATTGACATGATCACCACAGAGTATGATCTCTTTAGGATGAAGGATGATAAGTCTATACATTATATGCACACCAGATTCACCTCCATCATAAATGAGCTTCATTCACTTGGAGATGTCATTCCCAGAAACAAGCTTGTAAGGAAAATCCTCAGTGTTCTACCTGGTTCTTGGGAAAGTAAGGTAAATGCCATCACTAAAGCTAAAGATCTACAAACTCTAACCATAGATGAGTTGATTGGTAATCTGAATACATACGAGATAAAAAGAAATAAAGGAAGTGAAAGGAGAGAGCTGAAGAAGGAAAAGAACCTGGTACTCAAAGCTAAAAGCAGTGACTCAAGTGCTGAAGATAGTGACATGGCATATCTTACTAAAAGATTTCAAAAGATGGTTCGAAGAAATGGTGGTATACCAAAGAGAGGAAGTACAAGTAAAGCAAGGAACAATGACATCTGTCACAGGTGCAGAAAGCCAGGGCATTTCATCAAAGATTGCCCACTCGCGAAATAGGAGCAATACAAAAAAAAAATGCCGACAAAGCAGCAAAAAGGAACCTGGTTCCAGACAAATGATTTAATCGAAAAAGTGCAGCAAACAATATTATGAAGCAGGCACTTGCTGCTTGGGGAGACTCCTCTACTGAATCAGAAAGGTAACCAGATGCAGAAAACAGTTCCACAATGGTAGTGGAAACTGAAGTAACGAAGTATGACTCACTGTTCGCGCTGATGGCTCAGTCTGATGAGGATGAAGAAGATGAAGATGATGAGGTAAATTTCAGGGATGTTCAGAGAAAACTGAAATCCTACTCTTCTAAGAAGTTAAGGTCATTAGCTAATGTTTTAATTGATGCTTATTATAGCCTTGATAATGATAAGGAGATCCTGACCTTAGAACTAGGAGAAATTGAACAATCCAGAGATGATCTGGTGGTCTGTGTAGTGGACATAAATGAGACCATAGCTAATCTTTAAAAAGAAAATGAAGCTCTAAATGAAAAGATAACTAGTGTAGAAAATGAAAGAGATGATATGATGGTTGTGGTGGTTGACTTGAAGGAAACAATAGAAGGTCTCATCAATGAGAAACACACTCTAGAAGAAAAAATTGAGGGAATCTTGGGAAAGAGAAGGAAGTAGCTAGTGAGACACACATCAAGAGAGGGATAATTTTTTAGTGATAATCACTGACCTAGAGGAAACCATTGAGGGACTCAATAGAGAACATAGGACTGTGAATCTTGGGAAAGAGAAGGAAGTAGCTAGTGAGACACAAATCAAGAGAGGGATAATTTTTTAGTGATAATCACTGACCTAGAGGAAACCATTGAGGGACTCAATAGAGAACATAGGACTGTGAATCTTGGGAAAGAGAAGGAAGTATCTAGTGAGACACACATCAAGCTCGAACATGAATTAAATGATGTGAAAACTAGTCTATGTGGTGAACTTGAGAAAAATCGGCAACTTCAAGCTGAATTGGAGAAAGTAAAAATTGATCTTGAGAAATCTCTGGAGTGGACCTGGTCTTCAGATGTTGTCACTTCCATGTATTTGAATGATAGTGGAAATAGGTAGGGAATCGGGTTCCAAAAGGAGAAAACACCTTACAACCCTCACGGCAAGTACGTCACTATTTCTGATAACTGGTTGTGTACCCACTGTGGGAACAATGGGCAGTTCAAAGAAAATTGCCTCGCCAGGGTTTAATCTGTTTAGAAAAACAAAGTGTTTACTGACAAAGTGACTACTAACATGGCACCAGGTATCGATGACAAGAAACGAATATTGCCTGCATGGACTAGAAAAGCCTCTATCCATCCCTTTTATCATAACAAGGGACCCAAACTAGTTTGGGTACCTAAATCTAACCCATAATTTGCATGTGTAGGGAACGGTGAGAGGAAGCGGACTGTAATGAACCAAGGACAGTGGGTGCTCAAAGCACGTGATTGGAAGCACCATAGATTTCTTCTCACTGAAAAACCCTGCAGGAAAAGAATGTATCCATTAAAAAGGAAATGGTACATTTTCAATGCTAGAAAAGTTGGAAAATCTCTGTGTCACTCAATTGAGAACGTGTACTATGTGGATAGCCTGAAGTACAGTCTCCTAAGTGTCTCTCAAATATGCGTTAAAGGGAACAAAGTAGAGTTCTTGTCAAAAGAGTGCACAGCTACCAATCTAGTGACTGATAAAGTGGTCTTAGTGGCCAAAAGAAACAAGAACATCTATGTTGCTGACTTTGAATCTTTACAAGTTGGTGATATGATATTCTTGAGAAGGACCTGGTTCATGGTTTTTCAAATACAAGATTCACCTGGACACTGGTTCTTAGAACAAAGGATGAGACTTTCGAAATGTTTAGTGCCTTTGTCGAGAAGATCTAAGTGAAGATAAAATTGAATGTAGTATGCATCAAATCTGACCACGGGACAGAATGTGACAACGCCAAATTTGATGAGCTTGTAATAAAAATGGAATCACACACAACTTCTCAGCACCAAGGAATCCACAGCAAAATGGTATTGCTGAAAGAAAGAACATAATTGGAAAATATGGCATGGACAATGCTCATCGACAATGGAATCGCCAAAAGTTTCTGGGAAAAAGCAGTAAATACTGCTTTCTACTTGGTGAACAGGTGCATGATTAGGTCCCTCCTGAAGCAAAACCCACTATGAGCTGCCAAATGGAAGAAAAGCAAAGACAACTCATCTAAGAACCTTCTTTACTGACTATGCCATGTTCTCGACAATAGGAAGGACCAGCTTGGGAAGTCTAATTCAAAGGCAATGAAGGAATCCTTCTGGGATACTCTCCACAAAGCAGAGGCCACAAAGTCTACAACAAAGGTCACACTAAGTGGAAGGAAGTGCTCATGGGGTATTCAACAAGACACCTTCATCTAACTAAGGAAGAAACAATGATGATCAATATTATGAACCATCTCTAGTCTCTGGGAAATATCTGAGGCTTTAAATAGGGAGGCTGATATGATGAGTAAGATGAAGGAGACAGGTGAAAGACAATGCAACATCATCTTCCACTTCTCACAAGGAACCTAGTACTTCACTTACTACCACTGAAGCTGAAGAAAGAGTGGATATGCAGTTCATGGCGCTCGACAAGCAACAGAACAAAGTGTGTAGGGAAATCAAATTAACCTCCCAAGTTCCTCTACCAATCAAGACTCAGTCCCAAATTGGAAACACAAAAGCTCTCATCTATCTGATAACCTAATCACTTTTTTTTCTAGAGTTATACAAGTATTAAAAATTCAAAAAAAAATCTTAATCCCTTCTGTATCTCCACTCCAGAATAGAATCCAAAGTCAAGTCCTTAGGAATCCTACTTGAGGGCCGCCAAAAGAAGTTTGAGATATCTTAAAAGAACTCAGGACCTGGTCATGTATTACCCCTCAGGTGACGGTTTTAATCCTGTTGGGTATGATGATGTTAACTGTGCAGATTTTCTTGTGGACAGGAAAAGCACTTCTAGAATGGTTCACTTGCCATGTTCATGTCTCATCCCTTGGGGGACAAGGAAGCAAAATCAATGGCCTCGTTAACAACTAAAGAAGAATGTGTAGCGGAAGCACCTTGTTGTGCTCTAACCCTATGAACTGAGCAACAACTAGAAGATCTTGGATGATCTCTATCACAAGTGTGGAAAGCCTGGACACTTCATCAAATACTGTCCTCTCTTAAAGCAAGAATTCTCAAAGAACAACCCTGAAAAAGAAGCTAAGAGGAACCTGGTTCCTTTCAAGGACTTCAAAAGAAAGAGATATGCTGACAATGTAATGAAACAGGCTCTTGCAGCATGGGGAGATTCCTCTAGTAAGTCTAAAGATGAAACTGATGATGGCGATAGTTCCATGATGGCAGTTGAAGGCGAGGAAAATGAATATGACCCAACCTTTACTTTGATGTCCAAATCAGATGATGACGAAGACGATGAAAACAAGGAGGTAAATTTCAGGGATGTTCAGTGAAATCTGAAATCCTACTCTCCTAATAAACTTATGTCTTTAGCTAGTGTGTTGATTGATACCTATCATAGTCTTGTGGAGGATAGGAATTCCTTGACCTTAGAACTAGGAGAAGCTGAACAAACTAGAGATGACTTAGTGGCGGTAGTTATTGACCATAAGGAAACCATTGAAAGCTTCAAAGAAGAAAGAAATGATCTCTTGCCAATAATTGCAGACCTAAGGGAAACAATAGAGAGACCAGAGACTATTTCAAAAGCTGGAAATTCTGGAAAAGGAAAAGAGATAGCCAGTGAGGAACACATTAGACTTGAAAATGAGTTAAAAGCTATTAGAACTAGGATGTGTGTTGAAACTGAGAAAAACAAGCACCTCCAAACTAATCTGAAAAGAATAAAAAATGATCTTGAAAAGTTCCTAAAGTGGACATGCTCCTCAGAAGCTATCACTGCCATGTACACTAATAATGGTAAAAACAGGTAGGGAATAGGGTCCAAAGGGAGAAAAATTCTTACAACCCTCACAGCAAATACATTGTTGTTCCTTATAATTGGCTTTGTACCCTTTGTGGGAACAATGGGCACTTCAAAGAAAATTTCCAGGCCAGGGTTCAATCTCTTCAGAAAAACAAAGTGTTTGCGAAAAAGTGACTACAAAAGAATGACCAGGTTCCACTCACAAAAAACGCACATTACCTGCATGGACTAAGAAAGCTCTTATTCATCCTCTTTCCTACTACAAGAGACCCAAACTTGCTTGGGCCTAAAACTAACTCTTGATCTTCTTGTGCAAGGAACAGTGAAAGGAAGCGGTCAACAATGGTTCATGGATAGTGGTTGTTCAAAGCACATGACTGGGAACACCATGAACTTTATTTCACCAAAAGCCCTGCAAGGAGGGAGTGTATCCTTTGTAAATGGGAAACAGAGGTACATTCTTGGAGTTGGAAAAGTCGGAAAGTCACTCACTCATTCTATTAAAAATGTGTACTATGTCAATGGCCTTAAGTACAGTCTCTTATGTATCTCTCAGATCTGTGATAAAGGAAACAAGGTGGAATTCTTGTCCAAGAAATGTACAGTTACTGATCTGGTAACTAGTGAAGTGGTACTTGTGGCCAAAAGATACAAGAACATCTATGTTGCTAATTTCGAGTCCTTACAAAGTGGTGATCTGAGTTGTTTGAAAGTTGTTGATGATGATACTGAACTGTGGCACAGAAGACTAGGGCACGCAAGCTTTTCTCTTCTGAACAAACTAATTCAGAAGGACCCGGTCCATGGTCTGCCCATGTCAAAGTTCAAGGTGGAAAAAATCTGTGATGCATGTGCTAGAGAAAAACATGTGAAGTCCTCTTTTAATTCAAAAAGGAGCACCTCAAAGCCACTAGAGTTCTTGCATATGGACCTATGTGGTCCTGTGAGAGTGCAAAGCAGGGGAGGAAAAAGATACATCTTTGTGATAGTGGACGACTACTCCAAATTCACATGGACTATGTTTCTTAGAACTAAAGATGA